TTACTTCCCTTGTAAGCGCCTCCTCTCAGCCTCGAGACACAGAAGGTTAACCCTTCACTACACCCAACAAGTATGACAAAGGATGTGGCTTTGTGAGGGGGAACAAATGGATGCCCTCCCTCCCTCCGTGGCTGGTAGTAAGACAAAATTTGGGGCAGTAGAGTTGTGAGAGACAAAGCTCTGCCTGATTTCTGGTCTGTGACTGGGAGAAACAGGACCTTCTGGGACATTGATGCTGTGAGCCCCTCCATCTTAGCCTCAGGTTATATACTTGCCTGCGAGCGCTCCAGCTGGAGAACAGCCTTGACCAAAGGTGTCATGGGCTTTGAAGACACTCGAACTCAGGACGCAAGGGAGAAACGTGCTAGGAGGAAGGCACGCTTGGCAAATCCACACCGTGACCAACGCCCGCCCGGAAACCAATGTCCCCACTGTGGAAGTGAAGGGAAGGATGTGTGGATCCTGAACTGGCCTCCATAGTCACTTATGGACTCATTGTTAAAACTGTGTTTATGGAAGACAATCTTACTCTGCTAGGAGCGATCGAAGCAGAAGAATGTGTAAATAAGCCATATATCCTGAAGACACCAAAGACTCTGCTGCACATCAAACTCTAGGTAAGGAAACCCTGGAAGCTTGCAGCACTTGGAGATTGGGGTGGCATGCAACAATATATAATAATAATAATAATAATAATAATAATAATAATAATTAAAAAAAACACACACACAACAACTTTTATTTATAAAATCAAACAATAATTAAATTACCTCCTAAAAACAGGTCAAATCAAATTAAAGTCTAATTAGATGGCTTTCTACAGGGTATGGGTTGGGAACAGTAAATGGCCCAACTGTTTACGCTGATCTTATATGGATGGGCCTGTGAGAATGCTGGGAGGGCTCTTTTATTCGAGTTCTTATACAAAAAGAGAAGGGGAGTCAAACCCTGACCAAAGGCCTGGCGGAACAACTCCGTCTTGCAGGCCCTGCGGAAAGATGTCAAATCCTGCAGGGCCCTGATGTCTTGTGGCAGAGCGTTCCACCAGGCCGGGGCCAAGGCCGAAAAGGCCCTGGCCCTGGTTGAGGCCAGCCTAATCTCTCTGAGGCCCGGGATCTCCAAGGTGTTATTATTTGCAGACTGTAAGGTCCTCCATGGGGCATACCAGGAGAGGTGGTCCCGTAGGTACGAGGGTCCTAGGCCGTACAGTGGTACCTCGGGTTAAGTACTTAATTCGTTCCAGAGGTCCGTACTTAACTTGAAACTGTTCTTAATCTGAAGCACCACTTTAGCTAATGGGGCCTCCCGCTGCCGCCACATCGCCACCGCACGATTTCTGTTCTCATCCTGAAGCAAAGTTCTTAACCCGAGGTAATATTTCTTGGTTAGTGGAGTCTGTAACCTGAAGCGTATGTAACCTGAAGCGTATGTAACCCGAGGTACCACTGTATAGGGCTTTAAAATAAAACATTGGTCATGCGATCCTATATTTCAGGGGAGGCTATACTTAGGGGGTGGGCAACTCCCAGTTTGGGAGCTTAATCTAGCCACCAGACAATTTTTTTCTGACCCTTCAGGACCCCCCACTATTTTTGGCGACGGCACGTATATCTAAATAGTAGGTGAGGCTCAGCGCCCTGATGGGGTGTCCTGGGAGGGGGGAGTTTGAACGCCCATCTATCTTTTGATGAATGGGGGTGCAGCTGCCACCTCCACCTCAGCTAGTCTTCACTGCTTTGGTGAGAGGGGGGACTCTGTGTCTCTGTGTGTGTTCACAAGCAGGCATGGACACGTGAGGGTGTGCAGTGCTCACTGGAAGGCAAAGGCCAGTGTGGTCCTCAAGACAGAAAATTCCACCACTTCCCGCCTGCTTTACGTGGGGACCCTGTGCCTCTCCTGATGTTGGATGAAAATGCCCCTTAGAATCATGGAATCATAGAATTGCAGAGTTGGAATGGGTTCCCAGGATCATCTAGTCCAACCCCCTGCAATGCAGGAATCTCAACTAAAGCCTCCACGACAGATGGCCATCCAACCTCTGCTGAAAAACCTTCAAGGAAGGAGAGTCCACCACCTTCCAAGGGAGACCGTTCCACTGCTGAACAGCTCTTACTGTCAGAAAGTTCTTCCTGATGTTTAGTTGGACTTTCCTTTCTTGTGACTTGAAGCCATTGGTTTGAGTCCTCCCCTCCAGAGCAGGTGAAAGCAAGCATGCTCCCTCTTCCATGTGACAGCCCTTGAGATATTTGAAGACGGCTCTCATATCTCCCCCAGTCCCCTCTTTTCCAGAATAAAAATACCCAGCTCCTTCAACCACTCCTCATAAGGTTTGGTTTCCAGACCCTTGATCATCTTGGTTGTTCTCCACTGCAAACATTCCAGTTTTGAGAATCCAAGTAAGACCCTTCCTTTCTCTCCTTATTGCTAAAACACAATACATATCCTGTAATGAAGAGGCATTATAATCTGATGCAGAAAACCCATCTATTTCACAGTTTATTAGGAATTACCGTATTTTTTGCTCTATGAGACTCACTTTCTCCCTCCTAAAATGTAAGGAGAAATGTGTGTGCGTCTTATGGAGCGAATGCAGGCTGCACAGCTATCCCACAAGCCACAACAGCAAGAGGGATTGCTGCTTTCACTGCACAGCGATCCCTCTTGCTGTTCTGGCTTCTGAGATTCAGAATATTTTTTTTCTTGTTTTCCTCCTCCAAAAACTAGGTGTGTCTTATGGTCTGGTGCGTCTTATAGAGCGAAAAATATGGTACTAGCTTATAGACCAGCTAGCCAGTTTTTAAGGAATCAGTTGAATGTCACAATGCCATATAATTATAAAAAGCTCAGCGGAAGTTCTTGCGTGTAGCTGATTTTTATGTAATTTTTTTAATAACAATTTATTTTCCAAAAAGATGACATCAAAAGTAAACATAAAAACAACAGTATATAAAACTGATTTTTATGTAATAGCCACCCTCCCTCTCTTGGTTGCCGAAACATGGCTATTTCACAGTTTATTAGGAACTGCATAACTTAAAGAGCAACTAGTGAGTTTTTAAGGAATACGCAGAATGTCACAATAGCATATAATTATAAAAAGCTCAATGGAAGTTCTTGAGTACAACTGATTTTTATGTCAATCTCCACGAGACTGCAATGATGTACTTGTACTCTCCGTCACTGAAAACCTAACAGACTGACCCCTTTGGGACAGTGTTATGTTGTCCCCACTACTCTCTCTTCGTGCGCTGCTTCTTCTTCTTACTGGAGCTGGAGGTTCAAGTAATGAGGATACAAGGTCAAACAGCACAGCTATCCAGGCCAGACCAATGACGATCCAAGTGGCTGCGAGTAGCCGGTAGCCCATAAAATATGTCCTGTCATGCTTCCTCCCTGGAGACATAGAGAAAAGCAACAGTATAGTGTGAGGAGGTGATTTAAAGGACCCGCCAACTCAGACTTCCGGCTTCCGACGATGTGATATGGCAGCCTCCCAAGAGATCAGACAAACAGCTGTGCCAGTAATTCAGGGTTAAATAATTAACCCTGACACACACATCCCGGGGAGGGGGGAGCTGCGCCACACCACCCGCAGACCGTAGGTTATCTGCGTCCAAGGCACGAATTTAGCAACTCTCCAACGTCAGTCCCGTCAGCCGGGAGTTCCTGCTTCCTAAAAATTAAAAGGTTTGGCAAAAAAATCCAGGCATGTTATGGACGGAACGAGTTAAAAGAAAAATCTGCTAAACTACACAGTCGCTGGAGGCCAAGTTTCGGACTTCAGAAAGACTCCTTTCTTGTCATTTTGATGAATGAGGTGAGCGGCTGCCGTACTTTTATATTTGTTATATTTGGTATTTCATGACTTGCCGAACCCCACCAAGAAAGAATTAATTACCCAAAGGAAATGCAGGAGGCGTAAAATAATTGGACTTATTGGCGTTATCGCAGTCCTCAACGAAGAGCCCTGATCAAAATTGGCAGAGCAAGATCAGATATGACCAGATCAGCTCGGGATGAGGAGGAAATATGGCGACAGTAGAAGCTCTGACACAGTAAGAAAAAGGATATGATCAGAAAAAGTCTCCTTCAATGGGGGGAGATTGGAGATATATTTTTATTGGAATTACAAAAGGGGTGTTCTTTACAGAAGATGCATTTACTTGCATGGAATTCAGTGGTACCTCGCGTTAAGAACTTAATTCGTTCCGGAGCTCTATTCTTAACCTGAAACTGTTCTTAACCTGAAGCACTACTTTAGCTAATGGGGCCTCCTGCTGCCGCTGCGCTGCCGGAGCACGATTTCTGTTCTCACCCTGAAGCAAAGTTCTTAACCTGAGGTACTATTTCTGGGTTAGCCGAGTTTGTAACTTGAAGCATCTGTAATCTGAAGCATCTGTAACCCGAGGTACCACTGTATTACAGTTTGAGAAGAGAGTGGCGGTGAACTCTGGATGCCTGCCAGCTGTCCGAGGGCCCTGGAGAGCTGGCGTGGGTTTTTATGGGAAAACTGGAACAATCTTTGTGTGACTTACTGATTGCCAAGTACACTCCTACAATACATTTGAAACATTAAAGATCAAAAGACAGTGCGAAGTCGCTAATGAACTTCAACCTTGGATGGAAGTCCAGAGCCTATTAGAACAACAATCAGCAGAAAAAGGAGGGGTCATCGAAGGAGGACTGTGCTTCAAAATATTAAGACTGAGAACAATGTGGAAAAAGCCCTCTGCATGATTATAGAAATAAGGAACGGTCAAATAAAACAAGATAGTTATACCAGCGACTGACTGATCGAGAGAGGAAATTGTCAATATCAGGACTGGAAAATTGTGAAGTAACAAAGAAGACAGCAGAAAGATAAAGGATGGACATTTAGCTCTTGAATCCAGAACCCGGGAAGTCCCATTGAAATTAATTAATTCGGATTATATAATTCCTATTTTGTTTTTGAATGTGGAAATATTTGGTTTGATTTGTTATTAATAATGTTTTTTAATTGGAAAAGGAATAAAAATTATTTACACAAAAAAAGAAAGGACTCGCCAACTCAGTTTATCTAAACTTCGTTAGGTCATGTTCACACCATACATTTAAAACACATTTCTACCACTACACATAGGAAACTACCAATGTCCTATTTGTGATGGTTTAGGCTCATGATGATGTTTGAGCCTGTAAAGGCTTTGGTGTGGTTGCACTACCAAATTTCCAATCAGTGCACATCCTGTAACTTCCTGCTCAATGATGATGATGATGATATTAATAATAATAATTTTATTATTTGTACCCTAACCATCTGACTATACAGGGGTGCATTCAGATGTCTTCTAAAGGTTTTGTGGTTCTTTATCTCCTTGACACCTGATGGGAAGGTGCCACCACCTCTTCCTGGTTCCCTGTATCCTCACTTCTTGCAGTGAGGGACTGGCCCCAGGCCCTCAGAGGTGGACCTCAGTGTCTGGGCTGAATAATGGGGGTGGAGACGCTCCTTCAGGGATACTGGGCTGAGGCCATTTAGTGCTTTACAGGTCAGCACCAACACTTTTGTGCTCAGAAACGTACTTGAATAGAAGTATAACCACCCCACCCAACCCCACTTACCATTCCTCCCTCCACCTCTTTCCCCCTCTTTTCTTCCTAATAGTTTAAACCAATTCATGAACCAGGAAATTGGTTCACTAATAATGAACCATGCGTTGTAGATATTACTCCACATTTATTATGCTATTTTTGTGATATACAAATGACATGAGAAAACTTGGTATACTTATTTGTATAACATTATTCTTGTTTATAAAATAATAATAATAATAATAATAATAATAATAATAATAATAGAAATGTAGAAACATTTATTTTCATCCAACATTTGTTGGCAACAGTTTGTTCCAGTTGTTGGCCTCAGGCAGCAGTGGTTGCAGTTGCTAGAATGGTGCAAAATCTATTCATTTTGTTAGATTGTGCCCAATTCTCCAGGTCATTCTGAATTCTGGTTCTGTCTTCTGCGGCATTAGCTATCCCTCCCAGTTTGGTGTCGTCTGTGCATTTGATAAACATCCTCTCAATTCATTCATCCAAGTCATTTATAAAGACAAAACCCTGTGGCACCCCACTTGTCCCTTTTTTGCAGGATGTCAACGAACCATTAATGAGTACTCTTTTGGTTCAGTTCGGTCAGTCAGCCTGCTACAAATCCACCTAACGCTCACCTTCTTCAACCCACATGTTACCTGCTTCCTCTGGAGAAAATCATGCAGTACTTTGTCAAAAGCCTCACCAAAATCAAGGTATAATATGTCCACAGCATTTCCCTGACCCATCAAGTTTGTAATTTGATCAAAAAAAGAAATGAGATTCTTCTGGCATGACTTATTTTTGAGAAACCCATGCTGGGTCTTAGTAATCACAGCATCCTTTTCTAAATGCTCACAGACCAAATGTTGAATTATCTGTTCTAGGATAGGGATGTCCTTAATAATAATAATAATAGTAATAGTAACAATAGTAACAATAAGTTTATTGTTTATACCCAACCCATCTGACTGTGTTGCTCCAGCCACTCTGTGCGGCTTCCAACATATAGAAAAGCATAATAAAAAAGTAAACTTCCCTATACAGGGCTGCCTTCAGTTGTCTTCTAAAGTTTACTTATCTCCTTGGCTCGTGGGTCATAAACCTCCATACCCTTCAATATTTCTCCAATGAAAATAGGGACGTCTTAAGGAAAAGCTGGACATTCCAGGATCAAATCAGAAACTGGGATGGCTTCTGTAAATCCAGAACTGTTCCTGGAAAATAGGTATACTTGGAGGGTCTGTACTTGAGAAACTTAAAATATGGTTTGGGTTCCAAATTATAATCATTGCCAACCATCATTCTGTATGACACCTGATCTGAGCTTTCATATTCTTCAGCACAACAGTGAAGCCCGCAATATGAAAGTATTTTGAAAGCCTTACCTATTAGATAGTCTCCAAAACCAATGGTGCTGAGTGTAATAAATGTAAAATAGACAGCTTCACTATAAGTCCAGTCCTCCATCCATTGAAAGAGAAACGAAGGCAAAATAAGAAACATTTGAATCCCCAAAACCACATAGAAGAAAAGATATTTTGCTGTTTTCTGAAAGATAAAGCAAAAAAGAAAATTAAAAAGGTAGGTTTGATGCAACAGAGCTCAGTGTTCTTGGCCTCCAGCCATGCACAGGGATTTTAGGCTGCATTAACAAATAAATAATAATAATTCTACCCTAGTTAGACTTCATCTGGAGCACAATACCCAGTTCTCCATATGACACATAAGCCAAGCCACGGTTTAGTGTGGCAGTGCAAGGGTGCAAGTGTTGGAGAAAATAATAATTTAATAAAACTGTATTTTGATCATTCCGTGTTCTTTTGAGTCTATGGCCTGGCTGAACTAAAAAGGCCTGTACCTGCCTTTTTAGTACAGTACAGAACTTTTACAATACAGAACTACCTGCTTTGAGGTACTGTGCATAGTGAATGTCCGTTCGCAAACACTGTTAGAATCTATGGGTTCCACTGTATGCCTAAAACAAGAATCAGCTAGGCATGGCAATTGTGATCAGTCTTGAATTGTTTTGTAAAAAAAAAAAATGAAAGAGGAAGACATTGGAAAACTTGTAATGAATAGGAAAATTAGTCAAAGTCTTAAGAAAGAAAGACACTGAAAAATGGTTGTATGTGGGGGGCCACCAGGGGGCGCATTGGAAGATGGCCGACAATAACATCTCTCTGACCCACACAAGGTAATTAAGAGGCTGATATGGGAGTATGCAGCCTCCCTTGCCCCCCAAGGGAATGGGGGGCACTGCCTTGCCTGCTGTGTCCATAATTCACCACCGGATTCGAAAGAAGGGGGTGAGGGCACTAGGCACGAAGCCCTCGGGTGAGGTCGGCTCTCCCGGACGCTGTCTCTGATCGCGCACTGGTTTGCATCAGCTCGAAATATATAATTGGAAAAGAAGCAAATGCACATACTTCAAGTGAAGATCGGGAGTAAAGACTGCTGATTAATGGGATCTCTGTGATGCGGAGTGACGGGCTGGACAATAAATCAAGTGAAGACTCATCATTAAAAGATCGGTATGTCGGAGTGAAACGGAAAGGGGGGGGAGGAAAAAACTTTTCTTTATTTTTGTCTTATGTGAGTACCCAATAACCCTCCCCCCCCAGAGAGAAAGAATCGTTGCAAATTACTAATCACAAGCAGGAGATTAAGAACTGGGTGGAAATGAATTACTGATCAAAGAGAGGACTGGTGGGAACATCGGGAATGGAAAGAAAGCTTTGTGACGCAGTTACAAATGGAGATTCGTCAAGACAGGCCTGCCCACAGGAGGACGAGGGGGAGGAGGACCATGGTCATCGGAATGTGAATGTATGGTTATCGGAATGTGAATTTGACCTGGCAGGGCCCCCTGAGATACAGATTGGCAGGCCTGTGGAAATCAATGGACAGACTGTGGGAATGTTCTCTATGGAGGTGTGGAAATGGCGTCTGTCCTTTATGTGATATGGCTCTTGGAGAGTGTAAAATCCACACAGGATATGTTTGTTTTCAACCCGCTTGTGAAGATGATCAGAGATCACAAAGAAAGGAATATATGATAACAACAAGAAGATGAGAAAAATAATAAAGAGACTATCTGGACAGAACTGGACAGAACTGTGAAATTAAAGCAGCAGCAAGAATGATGTTTGGATCCCTTTTGGAGCTCGAAGTATGGGTACCCCCAACAAAATTTTTAAAAAATTTGGCTGTATAATTTGGAACTAATGTGATTTGGAATTAATGTGATTTGATTGGCCTGTTAATAAAAATTATTTTTTTTGAAAAAGAAAAGAAAAATGGTTGTATGTAATCACACGGCATTATGATGAGGGCTGATCTGAAGAACCAAATGATTTGAATTGGTTCAGGATGACGACATGGGGTTGCACCTGTTAAGATGGCTGTGATCCTTGGATTGGTGAATAAAAATGACGTGTGTAATCTAGAAATGTATAAAGAACATGGCTTTGGATGTGGTCCTTTGCAGCCTTCTTCTTATGTGTGAGGCTGTCCCTATGCACATTTCTTTTTCAGTAAAGGCCTATCATTTCACTTGGAGGTTGCATCCTTTTCTTTTGGGTTGCTCTGTGGGGAAGCTACAGTCAAGGAAGCTCCTTTTAAATTTCTCCAAGACAGGCTCCAGGAGAGGAGATGGTGGCTGCTTTGGCCACAAACTAAGGCATGGTTTGGCTTAGCATGTTTGTCTAAACTCAGGCTCATTGTTTGTGCCTGCAGTCAAACCACAAGCTGTAAGCAAATAAGAAACCTTCATTTTAGAAACAAGCAAGTATCTAAAAGCCTTGGTCTGTCGTAATCCCATGTTAACTTGGCAAACTTGATTTTCTAAACATTAAAAAAAATGGAACTATAGGGGAAAGTAATCTCCGAGTTTGTAATATCCAAACTGTGTTGTACATTTTGTTAACGTTTATGCTTCAAAAGGTGACAATTCAATTTTTGTTCAGCAATTTTTGCACCCACCCTCACACCCACTAACATTTTGGAGAATTAAGAAGCATTAAATTCCATGAATTTGAGAAGATATATTTTGCAAATTTATACTGGAGCCATTTTCACTAAAGGCAAACAGCTGTGTTCCAAAAATATGTACTGCTAAAACAAATAATTTGGGGAGTTTCTCTCATTGCTATTTGAAGGCAGAGCGAGAGTTTATCTTCCTTACTTAATTAGAGGGCATAATTCACATGTCTAATTAATTCTTGTCTTCCTCCTATTATAGAGGCAGCTAATTATATATGCATATGTATATGCAATATACTAGAAGAAGAGCCCTGCTGGATCAGGCAAGGGCCCGTCTAGTCGAGGATCCTGTTCTCATCAAAGCTGACCAGATACCCACAGGAACCCTGCATACAGGAGTGCAGCAGCAGTCTATGTCACCCTCAGCCTTGTGACTGAATTGAAGTTGAATTACCTTGTTTTCTTTCCAATACACTTTCTCTGCACAGGTTTCACAGATTCTTGAGACAAAAAAGCCAATATAGTTCAAGCAGATGAGGTTGAAGGGGATTCCAAAGAGAGCAAAAATAACACAAAAGATCTGACCATCTGCTGTTTGGGGACAGAGGTTTCCATAGCCTGTTAAAAGATTAAGAAAGGGTTGCAAAGGACGTCAGCAACTGTCGATTTGCCAATTACCTTCAGATTTTTCAGTTCTTCAAAATTTGTGACACAGTTATTGGATTAAAAAACGAATTACAAAATTCTTATTTCTTTTGGGATAAATTTAGAAATGTATTTGATGATATGTCTTTGGTGATGAAATTGGGCATGCAAGGAGCGTCTTAGATAGAGGAACCACCATCGTGCCCAGATAACAGCCCATAACAGCCCTCAGTGTAAGCCTTCAGGGCATCTGCTCAGACAAACCTCCCTTTTAGGTTATTTTGAGAATGGACTCAATTATAACTTGGCTGATCTATCTGCCAATTCATTCTTATTAAATAATTCTTATCCAGAATGTAAATTGGGACTTCCGGCACGGAATGCCATGGCGTGCAGCGGTCCCATAAAAGCGGATCCCGATTCTGCACTTAATCAAGGATGAAAATGAGAGTAATTATCCTTCTGGAAACACACACACCCCAATCGGAGGGGCGAGCCTTCACTTGCGGGTTGTCCATTAACTGTATCTCGTTCCGACGGAATACGAGGGCAGGGGCACTTAAAGAACAGGCATGTTTTGGAACAAGGAGACATGGGAACCTGCTAAATGAAATCAGCCATAGTGTGCCAAGGTTTTGATCTGGAGAGGACTTCACCGTAACAGGATTATTATGTAAGTGAAGGGGAGCCTTTTGTTCTCTTTTTATATTTATATTATATTTGATGATCTATGATCCAGCAAACCTTCACTAAAGACATATTAAGAAATTATTAGTGGACTGAGTTTATTACTGGAGCACAACTATAAAGGGAATGCAACAGGGACTTTAAAAAAAAGACTTTAGAATCTGCCTACAGAGTTCTTCAAATGAAAGACTGTGAAATACTGTGATGCTTTGTGGCACTGTCTCCTATAGGTAAAGTTAAATGGACCCCTGACCATTAGGTCCAGTCGTGACCGACTCTGGGGTTGCGGCATTCACCTCGCTTTATTGGCCGAGGGAGCCGGCGTATAGTTTCTGGGTCATGTGGCCAGCATGACTAAGCCGCTTCTGGTGAACCACAACAGCGCACGGAAATGCCCTTTACCTTCCCGCCAGAGCAGTACCTATTTATCTACTTGCACTTTGAGGTGCTTTCGAACTGCAAGGTTGGCAGGAGCAGGGACCGAGCAATGGGAGCTCACCCCATCACAGGGATTCGAACCACCGACCTTCTGATTGGCAAGTCCTAGGCTCTGTGGTTTAACCCACAGCGCCACCCAGGTCCCTACTGTCTCCTATGGAGAGTGTTAATTTGGATCTACAACTGCTTTGGTGAGACATCAGCTTGTTAAAAAAGTTGGGAAGATTAAGAACAAAGAGCTAGATGTCAACCCGGAGCATGGCATGATGCCAGTATGCTTTTGGTTCAGATAAACAAGATGGTGACAGTGCTGGCTCTGACGCACTTTGAAAAATCACTCTCGAAGGGAGACAGCGCGGAAAAAGGATGATGCATTATAACATGAAAAGAAGTACAAAAGAAAAGTATTTTACACAGAAAATTATAAGCTTTAAATGCCTCTTGCAAGTTAATGGATATGGATTTTTTAAAATACGAGTGACGTTGTTACACTGGCGGATGCAAAAAAACAACAACAGAAGAAGGGATCGAGATAGGAATTGTTATTTTTGGATTACATATGAGACTATGTGTGGGACTTTGGAATAAATTATCTCCAAAAGATCAAAACACAGGAAGCCATCTAATGTGTTTAATTTGGAATGTATAATGGGCTTTATAAATTGTATTATGATTTGGTATGATTTGATATCCCCCTTCATGGATCACTGCCTTGCCGTGGCGAAGGGGCTTGAATAACTCAGAGAAGGTATGAGCTATGCCTTGCAGGGCCACCCAAGATGGACAGGTCATAGTGGAGAGTTTTGACCAAACGTGATCCACCTGGAGCAGGAACCAGCAAGCCACTCCAGTATCCCTGCCAAGAAAACTCCATGGACAAAGATTACCATAATAAAAGACAAAAGTGGAAAGGACCTAACAGAAGCAGAAGACATCAAGAAGAGGTGGCAAGAATACACAGAGGAACTATACCAGAAAGAAATGGATGTCTCGTATACCCCAGGTAGTGTGGTTGCTGACCTTGAGCCAGACATCCTGGAGAGTGAAGTCAAATGGGCCTTAGAAAGCACTGCTAATAACAAGGCCAGTGGAAGTGATGATATTCCAGCTGAACTATTTAAAATTTTAAAAGATGATGCTGTTAAGGTGCTACACTCAATATGCCAGCAAATTTGGAAAACCCAGCTGTGGCCAGAGGATTGGAGAAGATCAGTCTACATCCCAATCCCAAAGAAAGGCAGTGTCAAAGAATGCTCCAACTACCGCACAATTGCACTCATTTCACACGCTAGCAAGGTTATGCTTAAAATTCTACAAGGCAGGCTTAAGCAGTTTGTAGACCGAGAACTCCCAGAAGTGCAAGCTGGATTTCAAAGGGGCAGAGGAACCAGAGACCAAATTGCAAACATGCGCTGGATTATGGAGAAAGCTAGAGAGTTCCAGAAAGACATCTACTTCTGCTTCATTGACTATGCAAAGCCTTTGACTGTGTCGACCACAGCAAACTATGGCAAGTTCTTAAAGAAATGGGAGTGCCTGATCACCTCATCTGTCTCCTGAGAAATCTCTATGTGGGACAAGAAGCTACAGTTAGAACTGGATATGGAACAACTGATTGGTTCAAAATTGGGAAAGGAGTACGGCAAGGCTGTATATTGTCTCCCTGCTTATTTAACTTATATGCAGAATTCATCATGCGAAAGGCTGGGCTGGATGAATCCCAAGCCGGAACTAAGATCGCCGGAAGAAATATCAACAACCTCAGATATGCAGATGATACAACCTTGATGGCAGAAAGTGAAGAGGAATTAAATAACCTTTTAATGAGGTGAAAGAGGAGAGCGCAAAATATGGTCTGAAGCTAAACATCAAAAAAACGAAGATCATGGCCACTGGTCCCATCACCTCCTGGCAAATAGAAGGGGAAGAAATGGAGGCAGTGAGACATTTTACTTTCTTGGGCTCCATGATCACTGCAGATGGTGACAGCAGTCACGAAATTAAAAGACGCCTGCTCCTTGGGAGAAAGGCGATGGCAAATCTAGACAGCATCTTAAAAAGCAGAGACATCACCTTGCCAACAAAGGTCCGTATAGTTAAAGCCATGGTTTTCCCAGTAGTGATGTATGGAAGTGAGAGCTGGACCATAAAGAAGGCTGATCGCCGAAGAATTGATGCTTTTGAATTATGGTGCTGGAGGAGACTCTTGAGAGTCCCATGGACTGCAAGAAGATCAAACACATCCATTCTGAAGGAAATCAGCCCTGAGTGCTCACTGGAAGGACAGATCCTGAAGCTGAGGCTCCAGTACCTTGGCCACCTCATGAGAAGAAAAGACCCTGATGTTGGGAAAGATTGAGGGCACAAGGAGAAGGGGACGACAGAGGACAAGATGGTTGGACAGTATTCTCGAAGCCACAAACATGAGTCTGACCAAACTGCGGGAGGCAGTGGAAGACAGGAGTGCCTGGCGTGCTCTGGTCCATGGGGTCACGAAGAGTCGGACACGACTAAACGACTAAACAACAATGATTTGATATCATAATAATGTGGCCCATATTGGAGTGTTATTAATGAAAATTAATAAAAATTATATCTAAAAAAAAACAGAATTCAATTTGGCTGCTGGTGTAAGAAGAGGCATTAACTAAGAGGCTGAAAAACAAAGCAAAAAGCTTATCTTAAATTATCGATGCTCAATAACGTTTACCAATGGATAAGAATGATCTGCTTAGTTTAAAATCTTCATCTTATATTACTTTTAACTCTCCATTCCTTCAGTGAGATTAAATCCATTAGCATGGGAATAATAATATAATTGTAATTTATTATTTATGTGTCGCCCATCTGACTGGGTTGCCCCAGCCACTCTGGGTGGCTTCCCCTGTCCCATAGAAACAATACTTCGGTCTTGTCTGGATTCAGCCTCAAACCGTTGGAATGGAATGCGCTGTTTACTTAAAGGGACAGACACAAGTTTTCAAAGCAGAGGCTGCTAAGGGAGAGGTGAACAGAATTCAATATGGCAAAGACATGGCTGAACACACCATTGATTGTTAGTATCATCCCACAGTTATTGCATAAGCAATTGCAAGAGTTTAGTTTGGTTTTTATTGTATGTTGAAAAGTTTAAATATATAACCAACATGCTCCATGCAATTGTAAGGACCAGACTTGAGTTGTTTTCAGCTGAGATCCCATGGAGATTTTGCCAAGCACCTCGGAATAATCAGAGACCCAATTAGAAGACTAATAGTATCTACTGATTGAAATTTGCAAGTGGAAAGAGTCAAGAAATGAAGACTCCTGGGATACCACAAGTCCGAAGGCTGAGAAACAGATAAGCCCTTCTCTTGGGTCTCAGAAGCCGCAGCTTTATGGCCTGCACTCGAAGAATGGATTATTTTATCCCTAGCACACTTGAATCAACAGTTTGTGCTTCACACCAGAAAGCTTACCCAGAGCTTTCCAAACGGTGTGTCACGACAAGTTAGTGTGTTGGCTGCAGTGTGTAAGTGTGTCGTATGAATGCTGGAGAGGGGTTAGTTTAACCACCGGTTTGCTAAAGGTAAAGGGACCCCTGACCATTAGGTCCATTCATGACCGACTCTGGGGTTGCGGCGCTCATCTCATTTACCATCCCGCTGGAGCAGTACCTATTTATCTACTTGCACTTTGATGTGCTTTCGAACTGCTAGGTTGGCAGGAGCAGGGACCGAGCAACAGGAGCTCACCCCGTCATGGGGATTCGAACCACCGACCTTCTGATCGGCAAGCCCTAGGCTCTGTGGTTTAACCCACAGCGCCACCCACGTCCCTCTACCGGTTTGCTAGTAAAACTCAATTACTGTGTCACAAATTGATGCATGTATAAAAACTGTGTCACCAACCTGAAAAGTTTTGAAAGCTCAGGATTAAACAGTGCTAAAAGGGTAGGTTCGCCCACTCATTCAGTGCATGGTTTTCTGCATTGAAGGCATTCATCTAGACATAAAGGGTGTGTGGTTTCTTGAGTGTATTTTGTAGCTTACTTGAAAGAAGTAATTTGCATTGGGAGACTGTCATGGGGTCAGTTGCACCTGGTGGGATTTGAACTTGTTTCCCTAGCCCAACTACTTTCCACAGGGTGGTTTTAATAATAGGTTGACCCCAGAAGGGCGGGGAATGAATAACTAATCAGGGAATGGGCTCATTGGGCATATAATAAATGAACTATTTATTTGGCCAGAAAGGGCAAGACAAAGATGAGATGTGAAGGATGATGAAAGAGCAAAAGCAAAGCCTGCACCTTAACACAATTTATCTAAGTGAGAGCAGTTGAATGCCCTGCATACTATATTCGGGGAGAAGCCAGAACTAAATGACAGTACCTATTGTGGCTAACATAGTTCCCACGAAGAAGAAAGAATTAGCGAAATCCCAGCTGCTGTGTTTATCATGAGGTTTGGTTCCTACTGGATCTATTCCCAACCGAACAGCTTTTACCAGTTTCTGCAATTGAAGGCAAGACTCAGTTTGAATATTCCAACAATATCTGACTATCACTAGATACTGCTAACCAAATTGCTATGCACTCAGAAGGGAAGTTCTTCTGGATCCGTTGAGCAACCATGGCACTTCTTTCAGCCAGAACTTTCTGGAACTCATTTCTGGCACCTCTCAAGTAGGAGCCTTTGCCGTTAGAGGGGAATGAGGGAGGTTTCTCTCCCTTGAACCCAAGAGAGGGTTTTGTAGCAATGCATAAATTGCTTGGCTTGCCTTTCTTCATAAATTCTTTTGGACAGAGTCTGCTTGGAGTATTGGCTTTCCCATATTCTCAGTCAACAAAACAATGGTGAGACGACGTCATCTCCCACCCTCTGTTCTAAGGCACAAGCACCCACTTTTCAAGGCAGTTAACCAGACAATGATTCAGCTTTTCTGTGACCTTGAACAGAGTCACCTGTTTTGCAACTGCTATATGACGTATGTTCTCCTTTCCCCAATATAGTGCTACCTCGGGTTAAGAACTTAATTCGTTCTAGAGGTCTGTTCTTAACCTGAAACTGTTCTTAACCTGAAGCACCACTTTAGCTAATGGGGCCTCCTGCTGCCGCTGCTGCACGATTTCTGTTCTTATCCTGAAGCAAAGTTCTTAACCCGAGGTAATATTTCTGGGTTAGCGGAGTCTGTAACCTGAGGCGTATGTAACCTGAAGCATATGTAACCCGAGGTACCACTGTATATTCTTTGCAAAATATGTTTCCCAACAAATGCAGTACAAATGCTAACAAAAACCTGCTCCTTATAACTAAATCGGAGAAAACGTCAATTTGGGTTTTCAATGATTGCTGTTCACAAGCTGGTTTTCACGTGGAAAGCCTCAGAGCAACGAAATGGTGCTCAGACACAGAGCTTTAAATCATGGCCAGGCCTGGAGAGAGTGGAGGAAAGCTCAGTGTGGAGAAGCCCATGCTGCCTCCAACAGTGCTGGCAGAACACAGCCATAATGGCTAGTAGCCATTCATTGTCTTATCCTCCAACAATTTGCCTAATCCTCCATGGGGATAACATTTCACATGCAGAAGGGTGAGTCCTTATGGCTCTATGCTGGCCACTGATTCTGTCCCCACATCAGTTTCCACCTCTAAACTGTATTCCCCCAATATATACTTTCTGACCTCTCAACCTCTGGTGTCCTGCCACGGTCTATCCTTTCAGTCTTGCTGAAGTAATGCCTTACCTGTATGAATACCTCCACCTCTTCTGGGCTGAGAGCGGTGTAGTTCGAAAAGAATTGTGCTTTCATGCGAAATGTTGCTTCTTCTAGTCTTTCGTGGTGATCGTTCTCCAGAAGCTCAATGACGAGGGCACCCATCACTATGTAAGTCATGTAGCCAGCCAGCAGTAGTATGCCCTGCTTCCTGCTGACACGCATCTTGTCCTGTGTGGGAATGAGAGCCAAGGAAGAAGCAGACACAAGAGCAACTATAGTTTAGTAAGCAAGTCCTTATTTGTCTTGACCCAGACTCAACAGTACAGCCCCATAGCTGAGCACTCTCCATAGCTGGACCCAAGCTAACCAAACGAATTTCAACAGGGACGAATGTAAGGTTCTGCACTTAGGCAGGAAGAACCAGATGCACAAATAGAAAATGGGGGACACATGGCTAAGTAGCAGTACATGTGAAAAGGATCCAGGGGTCTTGGTGGACCACAAGCTGAACATGAGTCAACCGTGTGTTATTAACACCACAAGATTTATCTAAATTAGTATCGTTAAACATCAACAAAATGTAAATGACATTCCCAGAGGAATTGAAGGAGGCAGTGGTGCACCCACTCTTAAAGAAAACATCATTAGATCCTTTAGATCTATCCAATTACCGCCCAGTTTCGAATCTTCCGTTCCTGGGTAAGGTGATTGAGAGAGCGGTTGCTGAACAGCTTGGTGGGTTTCTGGATGAAACCTCGGCTCTGGATCCATTCCAATCCGGCTTCTGCGCTGGTCATGGGACCGAGACGGCTCTGGTCTCCCTAACAGATGATCTACGTAGGCAGCTGGATCGAGGCAGGTTGGGGCTGCTGATTCTTCTAGACCTGTCAGCAGCCTTCGACATGGTCGATCACGAACTCCTGGACCACTGCCTCTTCGACGTGGGGATCCAGGGCACAGTCCTTCAATGGCTGCGCTCGTTTCTCTCTGGTCGGGGACAGAGGGTGGTGCTTGGGAAGGAATTGTCATCGCACCACTCCTTGGTGTGTGGAGTGCTTCAGGGTGTGATACTCTCCCCGATGCTTTTCAACATCTTTATGCGCCCCCTCGTCCAGCTTGTCTGGAGTTTTGAGTTGGGCTACCATCAGTACGCTGATGACACACAACTCTATCTGTTGATGGATGGCCATCCTGACTCGGCCCCAGACACACTGATCAGATGTTTGGAAGCTGTGGCTGGATGGTTACGTGGGAGCCAGTTGAAGTTAAATTCTTCGGGGGACTTCCGGGGTGGCGCCATCGGCAATGGCGGATTCCCTCTGAACAGGAGGGACTAGCTCCGCGGGAAACGGGTCTTTTCCGCTACGGCGAAGCGGGGACCCTTTTAAAAATCACAGGCGGATGAAGCCTCTGACCATGGGACTCGGCGGGCACCTTTAGCACCCCCCCAACTCGCTAAGGAACCCACTAATGGGCTCCGAAGTGAAGAGGGGGAAGTGGTGCGGTGCTGTGAGTCAATTGCTATTTCCGTGGAGCGAAGCCGCACAGCCGTTGCCGGAGAGCGCTGCCTTTTTCCTGGGACAATTTGGACTCTGAAATAAGCACCCGTGAGTACTTAGACTTTGAACAACTGGACATTAGATAAGGACTTGCGAGCAGAAAGGAATTGGATTTTAAAAACCTATTTTAATTTGGTACGGAACGGGAAGGTCTAAACAGGAAGTCAGCCTTCAGTTCTTCTGTAGACAGAATAAAGCAAAGACAACGTAAACTAGAGCTTAGAAAATCGCCTTTAAAGGATTGGATTTCATCATTTAAAATTGTGGAACCCCCCTTCGACAGCAGGAGAAGGAGGGGATCTTTTCCGGACTGTTTAAAGTGAGTTTAAAGTAAAGTAACTTTCCTCCGTCCTGATCCTGGAGCGGGGTGTCAGGACTGACGTTTGAAGTTCATTGACCAGAGACAAGCATTTTGACAGATAGCTAAAAGAAGAGAAACATAGCGATTCCACTGCTTCCCTTCGCATCTTTAAGCAACAAATATTGACAAAGTATCTCAAAAAGGGAAATTTTGTTGCAAGAACAAATAGAAGTTTTCCCCCTAGAGGGAGACTGTGTAACTGTAACTAACTCCAGGGAGCCGGCAGCTGTTACAGATAACAATCGTGGGAACAGGTATTCGACCTTGCAGGACAATGTATTCAGAAGCTTTGTTGTGTGCTTTCTATAAAACAAATGCCCTACTGGAACAATTACATGAAAAGGTGAATTGGATGGCGACTAGAAATTTTCAACAGGCAGTGGGAAATTTTGAACAGACAGTGGGAAAATATGTGGAGCCCACTCAGGAATTAAATCAGGAGTGTGTCCTGACAGAACAGGCCCAACAGGAATATGAGTTTTCGGATTTGACAAATGAACTTGGAAAAAGCCAGATTTGGAAAGAAAAGGTTTGGTTTGGCTTGGAAATGGGGGGCTGGATTGACCCCCCTATGCTGGGATGTTTGGACTTTTCAAATCTGACAATGGGCCTTGAGATGTTTAGGATTGTGGGGGCTCTTAATTTCGGAGGGTCTTTGAAACATGCTTTTAAATACCATATGGAACTCAGTGTTGAATATGGAAAGGGGGCTGATCTGTCGAGAAGGGTTAAAAATATTGCCAAGCTGGAGTTACCACGAGCAGGAGACAAGGGAAAATACAGTTACAAATATGAAGAAGAGCTGCGGAACGGACATGGAAGAGACTTGAGGGCCTCGGATATAAGTCTGCCAGGTTAATGGGCTAGATTGATGGGATAATAAGGACTGACAAAACCCGGAACCAGGAGGAAGGGACGTTGGATGAAGATTGGATTTGTTTGTATTTCTTCTTTCTACCATTAGAACTGTTTTATAAAATTGATGAATGTTAGAAAAATGTTGGAATGAAACTACTCGGCTTTAGTAAAGATTTTTAAAGAATTATGAAAGAATATTATGGTTATGAGAAGTTGGTAAGGATAAGAGTTAAGTTTTAAGCTTTAAGGTTTATTATATTATAGAAAGATAAGATTAAAACAGTTTAGGGTAATGTAATGACAGAATATTATGAAATATGGAAAGGATTTGCTGGGATAATTAATAACTAGGATACAAAGAAAGGGAGGAGGAGGTCAAAGAAAGAAGGTAATGACAGTTGAGGATATGAGAATAATGAATTTGTTTTTAAATGTTTTTTAATTGTGTGTGATGTATTTTTGTATTTTTTTTCTTTTTGTCACTTTTTCTTATTTTTGAATTTGTATTCATACGGTTGGAAGGGGTTTTTTTTTTTTCCTTTTTCTACTTAGTTAATTATTTTTATTTTGTATTTTCTACTGCTTTTATTTTATTTGGTAACACTTTGAAAATTTCAATAAATATCTTATAAAAAAAAAATGAAGTTAAATTCTTCGAAGGATGGATGGCTAACAAATTGAGGTTGAATCCTGACAAGACAGAAGTACTGTTTTGGGGGGACAGGAGACAGGTGGGTGTGGAGCACTCCCTGGTCCTGAATGGGGTAACTGTGCCATGAAGGACCAGGTGCACAGCCTTGGAGTCATTCTGGACTCCATGGAGGCACAGGCCAATTCTGTATCCAGGGCAGCTGTTTATCAGCTCCATCTGGTATGCAGGCTGAGACCCTAGCTGCCCACAGATTGTCTCGCCATAGTGGTGCATGCTCTAGTTACCTCTCGCTTGAACTACTGCAATGCGCTCTATGTGGGGCTACCTTTGAAGGTGACCCAGAAACTACAACTAATCTAGAATGCGGCAGCTAGACTGGTGACTGGGAGCGGCCCCCGAGACCATATAACACCAGTCTTGAAAGACCTACAGTGGCTCCCAGTACGTTTCCAAGCACAATTCAAAGTGTTGGTGCTGACCTTTAAAGCCCTAAATGGCCTCAGTCCAGTATACCTGAAGGAGAGTCTCCACCCTCATCGTTCTGCCCGGACACTGAGGTCCGGCACTGAGGGCCTTCTGGCGGTTCCCTCGCTGCGAGAAGCCAAGTTACAGGGAACCAGGCAGAGGGCCTTCTCGGTAGTGGCACCCGCCCTGTGGAACGCCCTCCCCTCAGATGTCAAAGAGAAAAATAACTACCAAACTTTTTGAAGACATCTGAAGGCAGCCCTGTTTAGGGAAGCTTTTAATGTTTAATAGGTTATTGTATTTTAGTGTTTTGTTGGAAGCCGCCCAGAGTGGCTGGGGAAACCCAGCCAGATGTGCAGGGTGTAAATAATAAATAATAAATAATAATTATAATAATTATTCGAAGACAGAGGTACTTTGGCTGGGTCAGGACAATATGGGATTGGGGGGGGGCAACTCCCATCTCTTGCGGGGGTGCAATTAGTGCCAGCACTGTCCGTTAAGAGTTTGGGTGTAATCTTCGACACCTCCCTTTCCATGGAGGCGTAGATTGCAGGCCATAACAAAGGCGGCATTTTTCCATCTCCGCCAAGCTAAGCAGTTGGCTCCTTACCTCTCTCACCCTGACCTAGCCACTGTGATCCACACGACGGTCACCTCCAGACTGGATTATTGTAACTCACTCTATGTGGGGCTGCCCTTGAGACTGACCCAGAAACTCCAGCAGGTGCAGAATGCCGCGGCGAGACTCATTACGGGGTCCTCGCTGCGGGATCACATTCACCCAGTGCTATACCAGCTGCACTGGCTCCCGGTGGAGTACAGGATCAGGTTTAAGGTGCTGGTTTTAACCTTTAAAGCCCTATACGGCCTAGGACCCTCATACCTACGGAACCGCCTCTCCTGGTATGTCCCACGAAGGACCTTATGGTCTTCAAACAAAAACATCCTGGAGGTCCCAGGCCACAGGGAGGTTAGGCTGGCCTCAACCAGAGCCAGGGCTTTTTCGGCTGTGGCTCCGATCTGGTGGAACGCTCTGTCACAAGAGACCAGGGCCCTGTAGGACTTGACATCTTTCCGCAGGGCCTGAAAGACAGAGCTGTTCCACCAGTCCTGTGGCCAAGGCTCTCGCTTTGGTAATCCTCACAGAACTCTGGCTGAGATGACCGGCAGAATTCGAGACCAGGAAGAAGGGTCGATGGAAGTAGACTGGAAAAAATTTAAAATATATCTTCAGAAATACTGTAATATAAAAGAATGTTAGAAAAAGGTTGGAAAAGAATATTAGGCCGCATTGGCAGACATGGTATAATGGAATAAGTAAAAAGGAAGAGTAAAATGAGGATAGAGGAGGATTAAATATTTTCGAATGCTAAAATAAGTAAAAGAAAAGAAGGTTAGAAGGATTTGCTGGAGATACGATCTAAACTAGAATACAAAGCAGGGAGGTGAGAGGAAGTCATGGAAATAAGTAAAAGGGAAAAAGGTTGTAAAGGTCCAATTTGATTATTGTTATTTTTCACTGTGATGCATGTTTATTCTGTGTTGAGTTTTTTTTTCTCTTTTTTATTGTCTGTTTTTTGTAACATGTGTATGGTTTGTTTTTTCTTCTTTTTTTTGTAACTTTAAAATTGGAATAAATATTCTTTAAAAAAAAAAAGGTAATCCTCACAGAACTCTAGCCCAATTGTTGCCATTAATTTGATTTAAACTGATTTTATAATGAATTGATTTTAGAATGCTGTATTATTTTACTGTTGTTAGCCGCTCTGAGCTCGGCTTTGGCTGGGGAGGGCGGGATATAAATAAATTATTATTATTATTATTATTATTATTATTATGAGGTATCAATGGATATCAAGAAATGGCAGTCATTGAACCTGACCCTGTGGGGGAAAGTCAATGCTCTTAAACTGAACATAATACCTAGACTAGTTTATGTCTTAAGAGGAATTCCAATTCACAAAATTAAATATTTGTTTAGAAAATGCCTTTGGGACTCTTCAGTTCCAAGAATATCGATTCAAAAAATTCAAATATTGATAAAGGAAGGAGGATTTGGGATCCCAGATTTAGGACTGTATCACTAAAAAAGACTGAGACTGATGAAATGGAAAAATAAAAGTGAGGCTCCCTTCCATGACTGGATTTAAGACATACAAACTTGCAACATATGAGCAACTTGCGTTTAAAGCAGACTTGCCGTGGACAAATTCAACGATATGTTGAATCCATTCTTACAAATACTGTACGTAGTAGGTTAAGATCTGGTGAATTAGAATAACAACTCTGTAAAGGATACAGTTTGGTTTTTCCTCTCTCCCCTCTTTACTTTGCCTTCTACATGGTTTGAAAAAAAATGTGTCTAGAAAATGATTGCAAGGAAGCTCTCAGATGACAAAACCATATGTGTATATGTTGCTAGAAAAACTCGAAAAAAATCTTCATGTCGTATAGGTGTCTAAAATAAAAGATTATATTGACTGTGCAAAAAGCAACTGCTTCAATTACTTCTTGGGAAAGTTGTTTGGAGTGTTAGGATACTGCATATCAAAACACACTTTCTCTTTCCAGGCTTGGTTTCGTTTGGTTTGGTTTTTTTAAGAAATACAGTTCATTGGGAAACATGGAGGAAGAAAACCAGGAGGTTTGGTCATGTTGGAGCTAATGTGTTTTCCCACATCCATAAAGCCACTTCCGGCCTGCCCAGGAGGTGGGGTTGCGGGCTTCACGCCCACCCCCCACGTGAGCGGGGGCTGGTTTCAGCCCCCGTGAGAGCAGGGGGTCTGCCCTATTTAGGGCCAGCACGGAGGGGGCTCGCCCTCTTTCGCCGGCTAGCCCCCACGTTTGTTTCCCGCATATCAGCTGTTCCTGTTTGTCGGAGATCTTATCTGCGTTGCCTGGAGCTTTCCTGCCTTGCTTCTTTGTTGCCTTTGTTCTTGAGCTGCAGGGCACCTCGTGGAATATGCTGTAGCTTCACAGAAAAAGCTCCCTTTCTTTTACAGAGAATTTCCAGCATTCGCTGCTGGTGTTGCTTTATTTCTAAACTGCTTGATGTTCAGGAGTTGTTATCTTTAGTTTTGGAGCTGAAACCAATTTGGGGCTTTTCTCCTTCTGGGGGTTTCCCCCTTTGCGCTCCATTCCAGCTGCTGCAGTTTAACACCGGAGCTGTAATTGAGCTAAAATCACTGTGTGTGTGTTTGTGTGCTTTCCTTCCAGCATCTCTTTCACGTCTACAGTTTTACAGGGAGCTCTGTGTGTTTCGGTGCAAGTTCCCTGCCCTCAGGAGCTTGCCGTGCCTGCTGCTGCATGCCCCCTTCAGAGGAATTTATTCAGCTTTGTGGAGCTTTTTCTGCTGATCCGTTGCTTGCCCTCGGCTGCTGACTGCCTGTTCTGCAAGGAGCTCAAGGAAGAACGTTTGGCTCCTCTTCGTTATTTCCACGGAGGATGCAGCGCACCCATCCAATCAGGTTTTGCTGTTGGGGCTTCAGGTTTTAGCTAGGGGTTTGTGCAGGGGAGCGTGGTGCAGTTAGGCGGAACGGCAGCTGCGGGAGGAGAGGGGCTGCGTTTTGTGCCGGTTGTGTTTCATTTTCTCGCTGGGGTGAGGGGCAGAATTTTTTGTTAAATAATCATTTCAGCAGCATTCTTGAGGGGTTGAGTGGGTTCCACAGAGCATCGCTTCCTCTATAGGCTGTTTCATTTTCGCGCGGAAGTTTAGACTTGGAAAGCATCGGAAGCAGCTGCACCGTTGCCTGGCAACTAGCGCGCCCCGGCCGCCATTTCATCCGCCCACGTGCCCTTCTGGGCGGACGCCATTTTACTATAGGCATTCCACGTGGGAAGTAATGTTACAAACCCTCCCTTTTAAGCTTAACCGGCGAGACAACCAGGGGAATAATTAACGTCGTAAGGGGTGCGTGGGGAATGCCTGCAGGTTTTGCGCTTGAGGCTGCGGAATTTTCAGTATTAAAGGGCTAGCGTTAAGTGTTAACCAGCCCCGGGGTCATTTGGAGGAGGGAATTGAAAGGAGCGGAGAGGTCTTTGCTTGGCTCCTCACTCACCCTGATAGGGACATTCGATTCCAAATCCTCTTAAATGATCCACTCCTTCGACTTCCAATATCTGATGGGAGAGTCTCAGTGCTTCCCTTTCACTGGGTAGCTATTTGGTAGGAGCAGCCTGACCACACCTTCATGGGCTCTATGAGGTCATGGGTATATTACTCTCTTTTGTGGACTGGCTTACCTGGTCCTCTGTGAGGTCACGCCCTCTGTACCTGCTGTGCTGCTGAAAGCCTCCAGGTCTGAGAGGCTGGTGGGAAGATCAGACCAAAATATTTTAGAAATCTACAGGGAACAAGCCTGATCTATTGTTACATTGAGCAACGGGAATGCTCATCAGATTTGCAGATGGCACAAAACTGGGAGGGGTAGCTAATGCCGCAGAAGAAAGAATCAGGATTGGGGGTTGCCATTTGTTCTCTTTGTCCTCATGGGCAGAGTCATCATAGCGATCCATAGTTAAGAGCAGAAGTCAACAAATGTGTCCTCTTTTTTGCAACCCTACATTGAGCCCCAGCTAACAAAATGAATTGCAGTAGGGACAAATGTCAGGTTCTGCACTTAGGAGGGAAGAACCAGATGCACAAATATAGGGGGTGGGGGTGGACAATCTGGCTTACTAGCAGTACATGTGAAAAGGATCTAGGGGTCTTGGTGGACGACAGGCTGAACATGAGTCAATAGTGTGATGCAGCAGCAAAGCTAATGCTATTGTTAAACCCTCAGAATGAATAAATGCTAGGATTTTGGTTAATTGGGATATGGATTAGAACATATTCTGCAGAGCTGTTCCAGACAGATAATTCCTGGGCTGGTTTATGCAAATCAACCTGGCTGACCCAGGGCTATCAAGAGTACTATAGGGGTCGTTAACAATGCAAAGGAACTTCCCTCTTGCCCCTAGGTGTGAACAAAGACTGGGGATTTGGTAGGTTGCCAGGGTACCTGCTTTGGGGGAAGGCAAGGGGTTTCTGGGGGGAAGAAGGAGGGGGAAGGAGAGCTCCATCTTGGAGAGAAAGGCTGAAGGATGCTTGTACTGCTGCCTCTTGAACTGATCATGCCGTAAGATCTAGACTCCCTCCATGCAGACTGAAGGTGTAAATAGCTGAATAAACCCTATTTCTTAAAGTATGACAGTTTCCACCTTGTCTTCTATTCTCCAGAGTGACTCTCGGCTACATCAACAGAAACATAGTGTCCACATCACAGGAAGTAATAAAGGTATCAAGAGTCTAGAAGCCAAGCCTGATGAGGAACGGTTGAAGGAGCTGGGTATGTTTATTCTGAACAAGAGGAGACATGAGAACCATCTTCGCATTCAGGAGGACCCAACCATTGAACCACGCTCAACATAGAGGGTGCCCAGCCCCCTGCCAGCAAATATTGAGGGGGCTGAAGACCCTTCCACCCCTAGAAGTTGGGGCGCCTGTCCTAAATCCCATCAGCTGGCAGACCATAGGAAATAGCCTTAAATCAAGTCAGATAATTGGTTTGTCTGGATGAGCATCAGCTACACTGGCCAGCAGAAGCTCTCCCGGGTTTTTAGTCTTCCCCAGCCCTATCTACAGATAGAGTCTTGAACATTTAGCATTTAAAGCATGTTCTCTGCCACTAAACTGTGACCCTTCCTCATCTCTTGAATATCGGATTATGCCTTCAGAGCCTTTCCAGGCAATCGGTTTCTCCTAGAAGGAATATTGTGGTGTTTCTAAATGTCAAGGGGAGGTACAGCCATCTTTCTTCCAGATAGCATCTCTTTTTGCAAGTCAGTTGCATTTCCCCAGAAATGATCCACAGCATTTGTTCTCTGTGAAATGCACCCAGCGTGAACTTGCTTTGCACTGATTAAGTGCTTTGTGGCCTGGCAGCACTATCCCTGTGATAAACAACAGTCGTCCCTTTTTCCTGCGCCGTGTTACAACTCTCATTTAAAACCTTTCTATATCTGAGGGCTGGGAAGAGAGGAGCATTTGGGTAGCTGTTTAAAAACAAATGCCTCTGAAAAGGCAAGGAACAACAGCAATGCCATCCTCTTCCCTAATAACTAGGATTGACAGGTCTCATGGGGCCAGTGAAGTACAGTGGAACCTTGGAAGCCGAACGCCTTGAAACTCGAACATTCTGGCTCCCAAATTTCAGGACTCCCCCGCACCCCCTCCATGGAGTCCCATTTTAAACATTTATTTCTACATAGTCTTCCATACTCCAATTTTTATATCAAAACATATTATCCATAGTAATTGTTACACTACAAGTGAAATCAAAATTCTGCTAATGTTTCCATCTGCTTACAGTGGTCTCCTAAATAACTTATAATTCCCCCCCCCATCTGAAACCCAAGGTTTACCAAATGTGAAATATATCTGCATATTATTGTAATGATCTCAGGCAGGAAAGCAAGTCCCGATAAAAATTCATGACTCTCTGGCAGTTTTATGGTACGTTTATTTACAAATTATACCCAGAGCAGTGCTCTGAGCCTGCCGCTCTTTGCTACGAGTCGGTCACTTTGAGTCTCCGTTCCTGTCACACCACAAAGGGTGCCAAAGTCCAGACCTTCCTCTTTTGCACTTCTATTGCACTTTAACCCTTTCAGCCCTTCTGATTCGGGGAGAAGGTGGGTGGATTCCCTCCCACTCTCAGAAGAGCCCTCTGAAGACTGTTTCTCTGCTGGTTGCATAGCAACCCCCTCAATGCCATCTATCTCTCCCCCTCCTCCTGCCTGCGAGCTGTCTGAGTCTGCTGCTCTGTTTGAGTCTGGGAACTCTTGGTGAAGGGGGGCCGAGCTAACCCACTCCTGCTCTGTCTGCATTCTTTTGTCTCCAGAGTCAGACTCTGGCTCTCTCTGTACTGGCATTCCTTCATCTTCAGAGTTTGACTCTTCCCAGGCGTTCGATTCAGTCGCGTCCCTGACAATTATTTTCAGCTATCCTACCCCACTAATGAAAATAGTGCTGTGCTGTACTCTTAAGAACATCATTGACAGCCCAAGATGGCTTGCTTCCCCATTCTGTTTCCAGGGAAGACAAGAAGGAACCTTGCAGCACCTTAACAGCATGAAACAAGGTAAGAGGAAGATATTTAGCTCTCCCAGAAGCAGAGCATCTCTGCAAATGTAGTAAACAGGAACCTGATACTTTGGAGCATATTTTCTTTTCTTGTGATTTTGACATTTATGCCAGAAGACAATTATTAGAGGCCTTACAACTCAACAGGCTCAATTCTATGCCACCAACGGTTCAGGACCTGCTCTCGGACAGGAATGATCAAATTACTTTAATAGTGGCTGAATTTTTGAGTGCTGTCCATGTAGAAAGACTAGGCCATTATAAAGAGATTTAGTGGTTCTTAATTGATTGGTGATGTGGTAGTGTTATATTGTATTATTTATGCAAATTGATTTTCTCTGGCGTTAAAGATCTGACTGGGACAAACCTTGTTATGCTGAGCTCGTATTTTGCACAATTTGTATACAGTGTTTGTTTGATAATGTGTGGTTTGCTATGCCTAATAAAGGATTGACTTATTATATGAGCCACCCTAGCCACTAGAAGGCTGTGAAAATTTGTGACCCTCCTCCTGACAAATTACTCCTTTAGGTTTGTATTGTGTAGGAGAGGTCCGCCTTACAGGGTTGTCGTTCTGAGTCCCAATGTTCTCTCTGAGTTTCCAGTCATTATTTTTCTTGAAAGGACTGGGTACTAATGCTCCCCCTAAGTCTCCTTCCATTTCATCTAACAAGGTAGAGACTTCAGTTACTGTTTCCAGTTTCTTATCTTTAAGGAACCAGCGTAGGTGTGCAGGAACCTGTCTATAAAATTACTCTAAACTGATCAACTGTTTAAGTTCATCAAAGGTTTTGATTTTACTTCCTTCCACCCATCTGTCCAGAGCTTTATCAATACGGCTACTCAGTTGCGCATAAGTTTCTTTTAATGTCACAAAAGGCTTTTCTGCTTTGCTCTGCAGTTAAACCAAACCGCCCTTTCATTCTTTCTTTGAATGTGAGATAATCAGAGGTTTCATCTTCTCTTAAATCTGAGTATATTTCACTCAAAGTTCCACATATCTGTGGATGTAAATACAGCATCCAGTTTTCCTCAGGAATATTTAAGTCCTTACAGGTCTGTTCAAAACTTAGCAGGAATGCCTTTGACACACTTAGGGAAATCTCTTTACATTAGCTGAGGTAAAGTCTCCACCCCTACCAATGGATATGGCAGTTCTGCTCTCAGCTTAATTTTCTCCATTTTAAAAAGAAACATGTCTTTTTCATGGGCCATCTTGACCTCCCTTTCTCTCTCTTCTTGGGCTAATCTGGCATTTCTTTCTTTTTCTTTTCCCTCATGAGCTAATCTGCTCTCTCTCTCCGCCATATCTCTCTCAGCCTGTATCTGTGCTAACTGAATGTCAGCTACAATTCTGGCCTGTTCAGCTGCTATTCTTGCTTTCTCCTTTTCTTTCTCTGCTTCAACTTATGTCTTTCTTTCTCTGTTTCAACTTTATGTCTTTCTTTCTTTCTTTGCTTCAACTTTAGCCAATTCTAATACTAGCCTCAGCATTTCTAATTCAGTATTGGGATTCTCCTCAGATGCAACAGCTCCCTGTACTGGGTCATCCTGAATCTCTTTTGCCTGGTGCTTGCTGGCCATTTTCTGACAGAAAAAAATTCTTCTTTCAATAAAATAACCTCAGTACTTTATTAAACTGGATGTTCTATATCTGCACGTTTCTGTGGGGTTTTTAACTTCGTATCACAGCGCTGCCACTACTTAATATGCAAGGGCGCAATGGCTCTCTCTCTCCCTGGCGCTGCTGCGCCAGCCCTCTGTTTCCCTTTCCCTCAGGTGAAATCCCCAATGGAGAATGAATCACGAGTGACAGTCAGTATTTTCCATCACAACATGCCACTCTTCTTTTCAGAAGCTTAGTTTGATCAGCATCGAGTATACAACTCGATGCTGATCAAACTACAAACTACATTACTTCTGGTAAATGAGCCACCTTAGCTGCTAGAGGGCCATGAAAATTTGTGTCCCAGACTGTTTCTTGTCTGCCCGTGTTGTATCTGAAACCCGAGGAGCACATTGGTTGCCAGATGTGAAATACATTGGCAATATTTGCATTAAGGGGCATGACGAACTCAGATCTATTAATTTTTAGTATGCCTGTTCTTACGACCTTTTAAATGTGTTTGTTCGAGTGGAGGGCATTGTTTTGTTTTGGGCTTTGTTTTAACTATTTGTTTTGTCCTTTTACCCTGTATTTTTTTTCTTGTGAACCTCCCCGAGACCTTCAAATGAAAGGCGGTGTATACATTTAATAAAGAATGAAAAAAATAAATAGTTGACTACAGCCCCTTGTTGTCGTTGTGGGAGTTCTTCCAACAGAACATCCAACCACCAGCATTGAGATGGAAGAATCTCCTTTCCCAAACTGAGTGGTAGAACATCTGCTTAGCAGGCAGCAAGTCCTCAGTTCAAACTCCAGCATTTCCAAACTCCTGTTTGAAATTCTGAATTGCTGCTTGCAGTCAGTCTAGACCGTATTGTGCCAAATGTCCCACTGGTCAGACTCTGTGTAAGGCAGCTCCCCGTGTTCCTAAGCATTCTAAATGGAGTGCATTTGTTAAGGAATGCAGACTCTCCAAGTTTCCATCCCTGTTTTTGATATGATCCTTAGGATGTCCCTATTTTCACTGGAGAAAAGCTGGAGGGTATAGGAATGACTCCATCTCACTAAGAACCAGCAGGCTACCAAGAAGCTGGGGATAATGTGGGATGTAACTCGCCCAGCTTCCCTCAATATTGTGGACCAGTGTTCTTTGAATATTGTTGAAACAGATCATGGTTCAAATTCTGCATTGGTTGAGGTTAAATCTCTCCTTACCCGGATAAATAAATTAGAACTCTTTCCCCCCCCCAACATATTTTTTTTTTAGGGAAAAAAGAAGAAACAATTTAGCACAGCTTGCAAGCCCCCTCCACAGAGGCTGGCCCCCTCACTGTCCTCGGAGCTTGCATACCGGTAACCTCCTCTGGCTGACGTCCAGACAGACCAGGGAGATTTTGATAGGCGACATTTTCCCAAGCGTGGGTAAATGCACACCCCCTCCTCCTGCTTCTTCCCTAGCAGGGAAAGAGACAGACAGAAACTTCTATTTATATTCTTTTATTTCTGTCTACAGCACTAGAGAAAAACATGTCCGTTCAGATCAGTTCTTCTAGCAAGTCTGACTAACTTCCTGAGCATGCGCAAACGGAAGGTTTCAAATTACACTCTTCACAGAGCTCTGAGAAGCCTGTGAACTTCCTGGGAAATTCCTTCCCACAGATACCCGCATCATGTGATGTCAACAAGCTGGCTGTTTGCAGCTGCGATGTTTCCATATACTGACAGCATCCACAATGGCTTCCATCTGCAAAGTATGTTTTATCTATGCATATAGAATGTTTTTGTTGTGTGTTTCTCTGGGTATTACATTCATACCTCGTGTTGCATTTGCTTCAGGTTGAGCGTTTTCAGGTTGCGTCCCGCGGTGACCCGGAAGTACTGGAAAGGGTTACTTCCGGGTTTTGGCACTCACGCGTGCACAGACACACAAAATGATATCACGTGCATGCGCAGAGGCAGCGAATCGCGAACCGCGCACACGGGTTGCGTTCTGCTTATGTTGTAACGGGACTCCGGAACGGATCCCATTCACAACCAGAGGTACCACTGTATAGAGATTACATTTGTCGCCACTTTCAAATCAAAGTCCAACTTTGACAAGCCTTTATCTCCTGGCCATGCTAGGCACATCACAAGGGGGTTGTGAGACTGTGTGCACGTTATTAAATTGCCTTTATTTGGGGCATCTTCTGTTACTGCACGAAGTGTGTGTTGCTGCCTCCTGTGCACAAATATGGGCATATCTCCATAGCAAAGCTATATTTAGACTATCTTCTTTATGGTGTGCTTTTTTCTTTGTCTTCCAGTGGAGGCCTGAGGTCTTAAGCATTCAGAATTCCCCACTCTTTGTCCAAACAAGTGCCAAGAGATCTTGGCTGTCCTCATTTTCAACTTCGCTCCGATTATACTATGACCCTAAAAAGGCTGCGAATTCAGGGATGAAAAAGAGTGGGGTGAAAAAGGTAGGCATACGCAGAAGGGGGTTTTCCTTCTGGTGGCGGCTGGACAGTCAATACCGTGGAACGGGAAAAGTGACCCAAGCAAAAGCACAGATCCCTTCTCCCCAGAGATGCATTCACACACACTTCACTTGGCAGTACCTCAGGACATTCTTTCCTCTCAAAATGTTCCAAGAGCTTTCTCCTGCAATTCCATATTTCAGGGACGGTTATACTTCAGTGGTGGCCAACTCCCAGTTTGGGAGCTTGATCTGGCCCCGAGACAATTTTTTTCTGGCCCTTCAGAGCCCTCTACTGTTTTTGGCGATGCCACATATATTTAAATAGTGAGTGAGGCTCAGCGCCCTGATGAGGTGTCCTGGGAGGGGGGAGTTTGAATGCCCATGCAGTTACCACCTCCACCTAAGCTGGTCTCCACTGCTCTCATGGGGGGGGGGGTTGTGTCTCTGTGCATGTCTGCCTGTGTGTGTGCACACGTAGGCGTTCACACACACCCCTCCCACTTTACATGGGGACCCTTTGTCTGTCCTGATGTTGGACGAAAATGCCCCTTAGAATCATGGAATCATGAGTTGGAAGGGGTTCCCAGGATCATCTAGTCCAACCCCCTGCAATGCAGGAATCTCAACTAAAGCCTCCAGGACAGATGGCCATCCAACCTCTGCTGAAAAACCTTCAAGGAAGGAAAGTCCACCAGCTTCCGAGGGAGCCTGTTCCACTGCTGAACAGCTCTTACTGTCAGAAAGTTCTTCCTGATGTTTAGTTCAAATCTCCTTTTTTGTGACTTGAAGCCATTGGTATAAGTTCTCCCTTCCAGATCAGGTGAAAGCAAGCATGCTCCCTCTTCCATGTGACAGCCCTTGAGATATTTAAAGATGGCTCTCATATCTCCCCCAATCCCCTCTTTTTCAGATTAAAAATACCCAGCTCCTTCAACCACTCCTCATAAGGCTTGGTTTCCAGACTCTTGATCATCTTGGTTGCTCTCCACTACACACATTCCAGTTTTGAGAATCCAAGTAATACCCACCCTCCCTCTCTTGGTTGCAGAATACCAGGCTATTTCACAGTTTATTAGGAACTGCATAACCTAAAGAGCAACTAGTGAGTTTTTAAGGAACACGCAGGCTGTCACAATGGCATAAAATTATAAAAAGCTCAACCAAAGTCCTTGAGTGCAACTGATTTTTATGTCAGTCTCCACCTGAATGAAATGATAAATTCTTCTCCAGGGGAAATGTAGCAGACTGACTCCTTTGGGGCGGTGTTATTTTTACCCTCTACTGTCTTTTTGTGAGCTTGGTTTTGGATCCACAGGTGCCAGGAATGAAGATACCAGTTCAAACAGCACAGCTATCCAGGCCAGACCAACGATGATCCAAATGGCTGAGAGCAGCCGGTAGCCCGGAAAATAGTTTCTGTCCTGCTTCTTCCCTGGAGACACAGAGAGAAGCAACAATAATGTGTGAGGAGGTGATTTAAAGGACCCGCCAACTCAGTTTATCCAGATCTCATTAGGTCATGTTCACACCATACGTTTAAAAGACATTTCTACCACTGAATTGTGGGAAGATGAACACAGGAAACTGCCAATGTCCTTATTATTGCCTATTCATGATGGTTTGGGCACATGACGCTGTTTGAGCCTATAAAAGCTTTGGTGTGGTTGCGCTACCACATTCCCAATCAGTGCACATCCTGTAAATTCTTGCATATATATATATATATATATATATATAAAAGGTAAAGGGACCGCTGACCATTAGGTCCAGTCGTGACCGACTCTGGGGTTGCGGCGCTCATCTCGCTGTATTGGCCGAGGGAGCCGACGTACAGCTTCCGGGTCATGTGGCCAACATGACTAAGCCACTTCTGGCGAACCAGAGCAGCACATGGAAACGCTGTTTACCTTCCCGCCGGAGCGGTACCTATTTATCTACTTGCACTTTGACCTGCTTTCGATCTGCTAGGTTGGGAGGAGCTGGGACCGAGCAACGGGAGCTCACCCCGTCGCAGGGATTCGAACGGCCGACCTTCTGATCGGCAAGTCCTATGTTGGGTGTAGTGAAGGGTTAACCTTTTATGCCTTGGGACTGAGGGGACGGGCTTACAAGGAAAGTAAGCCAGGACGTGACGAAAGCAGCTTGGAATGCTATGTACTGAGTGAAAATCAAAAGCAGTTTGTTGCGTCGCTGCAAGCAGAGGGAGAAGATGCAGCTTGAATCAGATGGAAGTTGGAGTTTGTAAATACACTACTTTTGTGCCAATAAAGGGATATTAGGACAGAAGAAACGTTTGGGACTCATTTACTGCTCTTTCGACACACGCCGCTGTGTAACTCTGCTAATTGCTTTACGATCTACAGAGGCTCCCAGGGGAAGCGTGGCTGGGCGCTGAACAATAAAGCAATAAATCTTTCGAAGATCCTAGGCTCTGTGGTTTAACCCACAGCGCCACCTGCGTCCCATATATAAAAATATAATAATATAATATAATATAATATAATATAATTAATAATAATAATAATAATATAATGTTGTTGTTTTATTTGTATCCCACCTCCACTCAGGGAGGCTTCCAGCATATATAAAAACATTATAAAACATAAAGCGTTAATAATCTCCCTATACAGGGGTGCCTTAAGATGTCTTCTAAAGGTTGTGTAGTTCTTTATCTCCTTGACATCTTCCTGGTTCCCTGTAACCTCACTTCTTGCAGTGAGGGACCCACCAGAAGGCCCGCGGAGATGGACCTCAGTGTCCGGGCTAAACAATGGGGGTGGAGTTGCAGTTCCAACCAAGAGAAAGGTGCAAAATCACTGTCCAGTAAAACATATTGAGCATTTTCCTTTCTTTCATGTTTGATGCATCCAGCCCAACCCTCTGCAATGCAGGAATCTCAGCTAAAGCATCCATGACAGATGGCTATCCAACCTCTGCTTAAAATACCCCAGGGAAAGAGAGTCCACCACCTCTCAAGGGAGTCTATTGCACGGCCGAACCACTCTTACTGTCAGAAATTTTTAATGAATGTTCGGTCAGAATCTCGTTTCTTGTAACCTGAAGCCATTGGTTTGAGTCCTACCTTCAAGAGCAGGAGAGAAGAAGCATGCTCCCTCTTCCATGTGACGGCCCTTAATATATTTGAAGATGGCTATCATATCTCCTCTCAGTCTCTTCTTTTCCAGGCTAAACATAGCCAGCTCCTTCAACCATTCCTCATAAGGCTTGGTTTCCAGACTCTTGATCATCTTGGCTGCCCTTCTCTGCACATGTTCCAATTTGTCAACAGCCCAGAACTGGACCCAGTATTCCAGATTGTCAGATTGTTCTGACCAAGCAGAATAGAGTGGTACTATTCCTTCTCTTGATCTGGACACTGTACTTCTGTTGATGCAGCCTAGAATACCGCTAGCTTTTTTTTCTACTGCATCACACTGTGGACTCATGTTAAGCTTGTGGTCCACCAAGACCCCTAGATCCTTTTCACATGTACAGTTAGTAAGCCAGGTGTCCCCCATCCTACATTTGTGCAGCTGCTTCTTTCTGACTAAGTGCAGAACCTTACATTTATCCCTATTGAAATGCATTTTGTTAGCTTGTGCCCAGTTCTCCAATCTGTTAAGGTCATTTTGAATTGTGATTCTGTCTTCTGTGGCATTAGCTACTCCTCCGAGTTCAGTGTCATCTGTACATTTGAGAAGCATCCTCTCAGTTCATTCAACCAAGCATTTATAAAGATGTTGAACAACAACAGGCCCAGAACAGAACCCGGTGGCACACCACTTGTCACTTTTTTCCAGGATGTCAAGGAACCATTAATTACTCTTTGGGATAGCTTCTGTAAATCTGGAGCTGTTCCTGGAAAATAGGGATACTTGGAGGGTCTGTACTTGAGAAACTTAAAATATGGTTTGGGTTCCAAATTATAATCATTGCAAGTCATCTTTTGTATGAAACCTGAACTGAGCTTTCATATTCTTCAGTCGAGCAGATTGGTTCCCACTAGTACCTTGAGGCCACAGATGACCTAGCTTTATCTCTAAAACCAGTTAAGCTCACAATATGAAA